GAGGTTCCTTAAACTTGTTCCCATTGATCACTCTTTAACACAAGCACGACTCAGCGTCGGACACTCAAAGGGAATACTGGTCACGGGACGACTCGAAACTTTTAAGTTGAAAGAATAAACCAGCTTTGTTATCATTGAAACGACGTCCCTGCAGGTGGTTCACAATTGTCGTTGAGTCACAGCACAGTCGCGCACGTCATAAGTGGTAATTGTCAGACAGAAGGTGCGCTCACCTCGCGCACTCCCATGGGATGAGGTTTGTGCGAGGAAAGTTAAGATACTTACCGATTGACTTCTCTGTGCCAGCTGAACCGAAAATTCGAAATTGGTCTGATTTTAGCGCGCGCCCCAACTCTGGCGGTTTCGACCTGTGGGAAAAGGGGCAGTTGTTACGGTAGCATGACACATATAAGCGGAGCGCAGTATCATTCTCCCTATGGTGTCTCAGCCTTCCATCCCTCCAGCGCAGGATCGATGCTATGAGGCTACAATAGAGGCGGCTTTGAAGAGAGCCTTCGCAAGCGGATCTTTGAATCTTGCGAGTGCGGGGCTAACCACAGTAAGTTTTCGTTTCCAAGGAAATGACCGATAAGTAGAATAGGCATTTCTCACTAGAGCCTCGACAGCTTCCTGTAGACTTTTTACGTCAGTCGCGATTAACTCCGGTGCCTTTGGTGAGCTTTTGAATTCAACTGATTCCTTCGCCCACGTTTTTCTGTGAATTCTGTGAATGCTGTTATCAGGTTCCACAACAGCTGGAGAAGTTGGACACTTTCACACTAGACGGTGTGAGTTGGTGGCAGTGCAACAGTATAGAGAAGGTCGACATTTCCGGTAACGAAATTCGCGAGATACCCACAGGCCTCTTCGAGCACCTATCCGACTGTCGAAGCTTTAACGCCAACGACAATCGTCTCGAGTCGCTGCCCATCGCCTTGTTGGGCTTGGCGAAATTAAAATCTCTACTTCTGATTCGGAACAAGCTCACAATTTTCCCGACTTCCGAATCTCCGAGCTCTCTTGTTGAACTGCGGCTTTCACACAACAACTTGTGTGAACTACCGCGAGGCTTTGCAGATGCCCTCCCTAATCTGCAAGCTCTATCCATCGACCACAACCGTCTGGTGAACCTCGATGAGCCTCTACCCACTCAGCTCAGAGTCTTGCTTGCGAGCAGCAATGAACTTGTGTCAATCCGAGGTGTCGGGGGCGGCCTCGGTTTCCTCGAGGAGCTTGACCTCTCGAAGAACAGCCTCACCGTCATTTCCGATCTACGTTGCTGTAGCCAACTTAGCAGTGTCGACCTTAGTCATAACAAGCTGGTGCATTGGCCAAGCCTTGGGGAGAAGGTGCATACGCTAGCCTTTTCTTACAACTCCCTCGAGTCGCCCCCTGAAGCTGCTCTTCTACCTCCTGCTCTCGTCACATTGTTACTAGATAACAATAAAGTGAAGGCCGTGCCTGGGGGTGTGTTCGCTCTTGATAAGCTCAAGACGCTAGACATGAGCAACAATGATATCTCGAGAGTACCAAGCGAACTTGGCCGCCTCCCCTCGCTGACCAAAGTGGCGTTGGA